CGCAGGGAGAGAGGGGAGTGGGGCGGGATGTGGGCGCGAGGTGGACGGGACTCGAGTCCACGCCGGTTAGGACGAGGGGAGGCGCGGGATCGGCGGAGGGAGTGGGCAGTATGGTCGGCGGTTGGAGCCGGCCTGAGGTTGGGGATGACAGGTGGGCCCATGGGTCCCACCTGTCGGGGAGAGAGGGAGGGGGAAACGGGCTAGGGAGGTAATGTTGACTTGAGGGAGAGAGAGAGAGAGAGCCGAGCGGGGCCGAGCGGCCCAAGAGGAGAGGGGAGGAGGGCGGCCAGGCCCGAGCGGAAGGGAGGAAGGAGAGGGTTGGGCCGAAAGCGGCCCAAAGAGGAAGGGGAGATTTTATTTTGCTTTTCTTTTTATTTTAATTGGTTAAATGATCTCTGTGACTTTCAAATTATTTCTTGAGCTCCGAAAATTCACGGAAAAATCCGGAGAGTATTTGAAGGCACAAAGAATATTAAAAATTATTCCCGGCCAATGATATTTAAAAGGAAATTTTTAATTCCCTCAATAATTCACTTGATGAAATTGATTTAACTTTTATTAAATTTCTAGAAAATACATTATTTAATGATTTTTAATCCCGACCGAAAATCGGGGCGTTACAATAGGGAGGCAATGCACACCGTCCAGAAGAAGTCCGGCATCCAACGGCACCGAAGAGGATTCGGCCGAACCATGGGCTGGGCCTCCCTGGCCCATTTTCGGCAGGTGGCCTCCTCTTTTGCTCTACTCTGCAGACTTGTGAATTTTGGCCCAATTCGACGTGTCATTTCTAAGTTCTTGGCCCATTCATACATAAGTCTGATTCTCGATATCGTCCGATTGATTGATCATTTGGTTTGATGTCGATTCTCCTCCACTTTATGGTTATTCTCTGCAAAAGGTTAGTAATCCTAATACTAGTGGAATATTATTATTCTAACTTAAATATGCATTGCAAGTATAACTAGTTCTCCTCTATTTTGGTAATATTGGCGGTCGAAACTTGATCGCTAACGACAGTCAACACCCCCCCTCCCCCCCCCCCCCCGGCACGCGCTCTCTCCCTGCTCTTTGTTGTTTTGGTTTTTATTTGACCTCCCCGACTGCAGCTCCATCTTGTCTGGTAGCATCAAATTCAAAAGTATGGGGAAAACGCACGATGATCGCAGCGAAGGAAACATATGCGCCCGTGAGCACTAATCCTCCATGATTCTCTCTCCTCCTTTCCGTCGTTGGGCGGGGCAACTTTATTTCTGCATCCTCTACTTCTCGATGGTATCACTACAAGCAGCTTCAGCCATAGCTGGATGACTTTCTAGGTTTTGTACCCATGCCTTCTGGGCAGGTAAAAAGCACCAGATAGCTTGGAGTTCCAACCTACCATATCCTTTTTGTTAGGAGTTTTTAATCTTTCAATGAGAGGGGGATAACTTCTATTTGGGGAAGGAGTGACGTTGGCAGTCTGACTACAACTACCACATGGGGTGTTGCACCTTATCAACCAATACACCAACTCCAGTTTTTTGTTGTTCTTGCTGTGCCAAGAACAATATTAAACCTGCAATTAATCGAAGAACAAGTAAGAACAAGTTGATAAGAAAACAGTTCACATCACTTGCCAATGATGAAACCGATACACACAAAGTTGGGGTTTTGAATGAAGTATCTGGGTGATCTAGCCAGCAAACACAATTACAGTGAAGTAGCTGAAGCTAAATCTGTATCTAGACAAAACGCAGGTTGCAAAAAGAGGCTACTAGGGGTTTTTATAAGAGGAAAAACGACGAGGCGGGGTGGTGGGAGCAAACCCTAGCCTTTGGGGTGGTGCGAGCAAACCCTATCCTTTGTGGACCCCTGATGGGCTCTACTGAAGACAAGGCCCAAGCCCAAGTTTCTGGTCCAAACATTGTTTCTATTATTCTAGGCAGCTCCACTCAAATTTGATAGTGAGGCTAGGCTCATTTCAAAGTAGTCGACGATATCTTTACAATGAGTACTCATGAGGTCCAAACGAAGCTCGTATGTAAATTTGGTGGCCGTTTTAAAACACTTAGGACGATATATTTTTTTCACACTTAGGAGCACACAAAAACCAATCATAGAAAAAATAAACTCAAATGGACGAAATATGTGACATGTAGAATTTTCCAAAGCTCTACCGAGAAGCTTTTTGCCTTGAAAATACAATCTTGCAAGCAGAATTTAGAGGTTCTAATTTCGCTGAACCCGACAAAGCGGGGGAGAATTGGATGTAACTTTTTCTGTAGATGTCCGTGGATATATTATTTGCTTGATTCCAAGTTTGTATGAAAAAATTACGCCTGTTTTAAGAAATGACACCCAAATGTAAAAAAAAAGAACACAAACCCTAACTTTTTTTTTTGGTTTATAGGATGTAAAAGGTATAAAAAAAAGGCTAAAGAGTGTTCGAAACCTGATCTACTTTTTTTTTTTGGGAGGTGGGGGGGGGGGAGAGGGGACTATATAAGGGCTCACACATGCTTACCCCCGCTCGAACATAAACCAATGTGGGTGGTAGGAGCGAAACGTGGCTAGCCTTGCTGCGTATGTGTCGAAACATGATTTCGGCAATAATAAAAGGGGGTGGCGCTCGAGACCTAAAAGTGGATGGATGCGGAGACAAAGGATTTAGACAGGTTCAGGCCCTCTCAATGAGAGGTAATACCCTACTCCTGTTTGGGGATTTGAATCCGCCGAGTGTGTATTGATCTGACGATCAGGTTGTCTCATATATATGCCCCCTAGAGGGCCTCCTGCCCACCTTATATAGGATGGGGGGCAGGATTACAAGATAGAAACCTTAACCAATACGGTATCGGTTTCCTAAATCAGGACTCTAGGCCGTTCCGTAATATACAAGGAAACGTAACACCCAAGTCATGATCTGTTACATATTACATAGATATAAGTTATCCCCTATAACTAGTCGGATAACCATGCCGTGTGGGTATGGGGTACCCATAATCTCCACAGTATGCCTACTCTTTAGTCCATGGGATTTTTTGCCTAGCAAGTTAGTGTTGGAAAAAAATAAGAGTTTACATATGGAATTTTTATACACGGCAATTTTATGTCATAGAAATGAAACTTTCGATATATAATCTTTGAACAAATTAATTTGTAGCGAATAAAAAAAGAAGAAAAAAAATCTATAGATAAGTTTATAAAAATAAAACTTGTATGTAGAAACTTTTGATACATATGTAAAAATTTGTACTTTGTGTAAAACTTTTGGTATATAAACTCTATGCAAAAGCAGATTAAAAAAAACATTTGTCTACAAATTTTCACCTAAAAATTTGACAGATGTAATTATAGTACAATCGTAGTGTAATTACACTATAACTTGTATGTAAATACACTGTAACATGTAACTACAGTGTAACTTGTATGTAAGTTTCACGTAATTTTGAATCATTAGATCTAATACAAGATTTGTTCTAGTGAGGAAGAAAAAAATCACAGCACACACATGTGTGAAAGGATTTGTTCCCACGACCTCCATTTTACCGAAATAGCATGTTATGGAGAGATTTTTAAAAGTTATATACAAGTTACTGTGTAAGTATAATTGCATCTGAGAAAAAAAATTATCGACAAATATATAGCAAAATTGAAAAGAGAAGGAGAAAAGACAAACATGCCAAATGTGTCATGAGGCCCGCTACTTATCGGTCCATCACTTGGTTTCGGCCTTTCATGGCCCACTCCAAAGGACCAAAATCGAAAATATCTCGACCATGCAAAGAGAAGATGGCTGGGCAACATGTTCGTGCGGCTGGCGCTGGGCTCACGCACAAACGTTTGCACTCATGTGCAATCAGCTAGTTTGTTGCCATAATTTTTGTGTATGTTTGTTTCGCTATCAAAACCATGTCATGCCACGTGTTTTTAAGTACAACTATATCATGTCACGTGTTTTTAAGTCTTAGGATCCAGTGTCACAATTTTAAAGCTGGCCATGCCACACTTTAGATAAGGTAAAATCTAATTGGAGAAACCTCTCCAATTAGTCTTAACCAGAGACACCCCACGTGCTAGTACTTTAAGAGTTTTGGTTGCTATTAATCCATTGAGCAAGTAGGGAAAATATTCCTATCATCTATACTTCAAATAAAATTTTCTCTTAAATTACTCATCCGATTTACAATCCGATTACACCGTTGTGTTCGTAATAATTAAATCTTTACAACAAGATCTCACATGATTATATTTTGATGAAAAATCACAAATTACTTTTATGATATGTCTAAATTACTTTTAGGTTTCACTAAGTTACTTCTTAGACATATAAAAGTAAATTCAGTAAAGCCTAAAAGTAATTTACATATATTATAGAAGTAACTTATAACAAAAAAAAAAGTAACTTTAATTAATGCCTTTTTTCATTGAAAAAATTATCATGTATATCTAAAAGTTACTTTTAGATTTGATTGAAATACTTCCTATACATTCATAATGCTCTGAGGTGATTACTTTTTTTTATTATTATTAGTTAATTCCATAATTTGTGCTGATTAATTTAATTTGTACTGATAATGTTTTTATCTCTACAACAGATTTATGACATGCTAAAGTTACCTTCATTTTGTTCTAAGTTACTTCTATAATATATGTAAATTACTCTTAGGTTTTACTGAATTTACTTTTATATATATAAGAAGTAACTTAGTGAAATCTAAAAGTAATTTAGACATATCATAAAAGTAATTTGTAATTTTTCATCAAAATATAATCATGTGAGATCTTGTTGTAAAGATTTAATTGTTACGAACACAACGGTGTAATCGAATCGTACATCGGATGAGTAGTTTAAGAGAATTGTATTTGAAGTATAGGTGGATGGTGCCTCTTATAGATGGAGTGGTAGCTGGTTTAGACAAACCAGCTACCACTAGCCGTGTAGTTACGTCCTTTAGATAACTACTACTATTAACCACATTGTTTGGGCAACATGTCACAACTTGGTTAAGGACAAGTTTAGGCAACAACTAACCAAAGATTCCATAGATAACAGACTGCAGCCCTCCAGCCGACTGCCGAGGCAGTAAGGCAAAGGGTGCCCCCGGCCCCTGGCATGGAGGTACTCAGGTACAAGTACAATTGTTATGTGCAACTGGAGTACTGGACCAGAAAATTCACATCAAAAACAGAGAGCAGAAAGCACATAAAAGATCATACATAGACGAACTGAACTGAACTGTTTAATCCGAGGGCTTTTTATTCTTCGGAGCCATGGTTGCCATGGCAGGCATCCATTATTTCCGGTGTCCAATAGTTTCTCAGGGAACACTCAGGCAACAACAACAACACAAGGTGTTTTGGTTCCTATCCGAATCTCTGTTTCCCTTCACTGCGGGAAGGTGGCCACAGGATGGACACCCAACACACAAGGAAGGGTTATTACTGGTACTGGCTCGCGAGCTGACCTTCCTTGACGATGTAGTTCTGCACCGGGAAGTCTTCCCCTTTGAAGTACCTGTCCAGCATGTCCTTCACTCCTGCTGCGTATCTCAGCTGCAGCAATTGTTCATTTGCCGTGAAATTTCGTTACAGACACAGTCAGCAATACTTATAGGAAACAGATTATAAGACCAATCCAAATGCCCACATATAATCTATGCTAGACATAATACAAGCAGGACCCGTTGCCAATGTAGTGAGAAATTGACCGCCGAATCTCAACCCTATGGCTGAATAAAGCAGTTGTGCATATTTAATCTAGCTTGGAGTAAAAACATCTTATATGATTTTGATCTTAAGAAACAATTATTGATGAATCAATAAAGTGGCCCTTGGTTTGTACTATGTATCATGCAAAACATGCGCTGCCATCTGGGTAACTAAGTTACTCATCTCACTAGCTGACATATTGCTCTACAGTTTTGTTAAAGCATTGTGGGGGTACCCACAGAATCAGATTCTAGAATTTTATGCTCCAATGCCCTAAGTTAAAGTAGAAAACATATATAAAAGCTGACCTGTGCATCAATTGTAGTCCCAGAGATATGAGGGGTCATGGCATGATTAGGCATGTATCGCCATGGGTGATCCTTTGGTGCTGGTTGGGGGAACCAGACATCACCACCATATCCTGAGAAGGAAGAATGAGGTTTTCATGCTAAAGGAAATATTGATCAAGATAGAAATATTAATACGGCATCATTCTTATAATTTTTTTTTCAATAGGACACCAATATTAGTTCTCTGGAAGGAAAGGACATTTAGTAGTTTGTCACAGATTAAAGAATCATGGTAAGAGAGCTAATTTACATAGGTGCAGAGAAGTTCTTTTATTTTTTTAAAAAAAGATTCTTCAATAATTGTGAACAACAAGTTATCATATTTGACATACATACTGCTTTACTGGGTTAGTTGTCCTGGTTTTAAGTTTTTTCATATCACCCCTCTTAAATGTGAAGCATGATAGGCTCCAGGAAAATGATATACTTCATGGATCAAAAAGAAAGATTTAGACCAAATCTGATGGCATGCTAGTATGCAGTGTAGGCTATAAGAAATGAAAGGATGATGGTACCTGCAACTTGACCACTAGAGCAAGCGTCTGCAACCGCCTGGGTATCCATGATTGCTCCTCGAGCATTATTCACAATGATTACACCTTTCTTCATCTTTGCAATTCTTTCTTTATTAAACATACCTCTGAAGAAAGAATCATACAAAGTTCAGATAAGTAGATGTACTATGTATATGATTTTGCAACAAACAAGAATACGATCATCAGGAACCTTGTTTTCTCTGTAAGAGGTGTATTGATCACAATGACATCACACTTTGGAAGCATAGCATCGAGATCCTCTTCATATTTGGCCCCAATTTCTTTCTCAAGTTCTGGGTCAATTTTAAGTCTGTCATGGTACAGCAGGTTGCAGTTAAAGGGCTTAAGACGCTGAAGTAAGAGCCTGCCAATACGACCAGCCCCAACAGTCCCCACAGTTTTTCCTTCAAGATCATAAGCCCTATAGGCAATGCCAGCAACATTCCATTCACCATGAACAACCTGCTGATACCCGGGCAAGAAGTTCCTGAGCAAAATCAAAATGCGCATGAGCTCATCTTCTGCCACCGACACAGTGTTACTTCCGGTAACCTCTGCCACAGTTAAACCTGCTGCAGCAGCTGCTGGCAGATCAATATGATCTGACCCAATCCCAGCTGTGAGAAGCAGCTCGAGGTTCTTTGCCTTCTTGATCCTTTCTGCGCTAACATAGGCTGGGTGGAAAGGGGTGGTGATCAAGACATGCATATCCTCAATGTGCTTCTCCAGCTCTGACAACAAGAAAAGCATCAGTTATGTGCACAAGAGGAGTTAAAAGGATAGGTTCAGAGCTATGTTGCTATTTAAATACTGTAGTTGTTATCTGTCTTAGAACTAAAGCACAAAAATAGTTGCTACATGTTTTTCAACAAATCGATAAGAGATATGCAAAAGAAAAAAAAAGTTCAAACTTGAAACATGTATGCAACATAGGCACAGACAAGAATTTGAGTTAACAGAACAGCATGCCAGCATGAATAGAGTTAATTTCAGCCGTGTGCTAGAGGAAACCACTTGGCTGCCAACCACTCAACACGTGAAAGCATGACTACCCTAACCACATACATCAAGAACCTCCTTTCCACCTTCCATCAACCAGATGAATATCATCCTTAATTCTCCTGATCAAAAGATAAAAATAATCATCGGCGAAGTTAAGTAAACGCTCATGTCCACCTATGGCAACTCCATCCACCTCTATTCAGCCTGTACAGGGCCAACACTACAAGCTGGGAGATGCTAGCTACTCAATTCATCATGTGTAAGCGGCTCCATGCAAATCATACACCATGCACAACTAAAAAATGTTGGTAGAAACTTGAGAGAAAGCTCTGAAAATCTGAACATCTCTCGCGGATACTACCACTTACCGCTGTTTAGCCCCTCCTTGTCGTCGGTGACAATGTAGTGATGCCCCTTGGACTCAAGCCATTCGCGGATGCCGAGAGCGCCCTCCACGCAGCCGACGAAGTTGGGATTCTTGTCGGCGTACTCGCCGCCCTTGTAGAACACACCCACGATCTTCTTGCTGCCTGCTGATGTCTGCGATTCAGAGAGGGAAAACCAAAAGGTATACCATTCTTCAGAGTTGCAGCAACTGAGATTTGTTCAGACACCGAAATTCACATCACAGAAGAGATCAGGAAAACCGATTGCAATTGTTCATCACCCATTCCCGTACAAAAGGGGAGAAACATCTTTTTGGGAGGAGAAAAAAAAAGAAATTCCGGGAGGGGACAAAGCATACTGGGAATCACGAAATTAGGGAGGAATCCATGCTTTTGCAAAACCCAATCTACAATAGAATGCTCTTGCTCTCGCAAAAAGTAAAAGCTAAAACCCAAAATTCACCTCCGAACTGCACCCAAAAAAAAAAAAACTCGCAGCAGAAACAAAAAAGAAAGAGATACTCTAGACAAGAAGAACCCCGGTCGATCCAGTTGGAAGTACGTACGTGCGCGGCCCTGGAGCCGAGCGCGCGGCCGAGAAGATGCCCCGCCGCCGCCCTCCACATCGCCATGATCCCAGGAGGAGGAGGAGAAATCGCGAGACGAACGCACAGGCAACCGCGAGCAGGCGAGAGAGAGAGAGTGATGGAATCGATCAGTGCAGCCGACTCGATGGGATAGATTGATATGGATAGATAAAGGCCCGCCACCTCGCGCCGCCAGGTGGGCCGCGTGGACGCGGGTAGGTGGGCGCGGCGGGCTGACAGCTGGGGACCAGAGGCTGTGTGGGCTCCATTTGTCAGCGTCTGCAGCTGCTCACACTATTAGGATATTTATTTTCATTTTCTGGAGTATATGTATAAGCTACACATACGTGGCCCCTTGGCGTTGTTAGGATAAGACGGAGCCTTGCTGGTGATCATCCAAAACAATGTAAGCACTTATTAGCAAATAATCTGGTTTTAATTTGTGACAGGGACTGAACAAGTGAGGACACTAGGGAAGCACGCACGCTTCGTGCAGCTTTGCGCCATGGAGCCGTGGCAGAAACAGAAAGGCTGCGTGAGTCACCCATGCACGTAGGCCCTGTTTATTTCCAAAGTTTTTTTTCCAAACTTCCAACTTTCCATCGCATCAAACATTTCATACACACACAACTTTTCTATCACATCGTACCAATTTCAACCAATCTTTTAAACTTCAGTGTGAATTAAACACAGCCGTAGAACCTCCGAATGCTCAAAATCGGGCGCCTGATGCGGCGAAAAAAATGGGGCGCCCATATGCGCGGGCCGCCCCCACTATGTATGTCCATCATTCGCGCCCCATTACAATCAGTGGCGGATATAAATTTAAAATACAGATGGGGCGGCAGAGCTAGCCCTAATTAGGTAATGGCACAATGCACACAAATCATAGTCGCCGGCTCACGGCACTGGTACAGCAACGCACGGCATGAACATTGAGAAAGTTAACAACGAAAATTGGTAGTCGAACAAACGTATATTAATTATATGTAGAGAGAAAAAAAAAGGAGAAACGTTGTTAGACAATAATAAGGGGAACCACTTTCAATACATTGGAGGTATAAAACGAAATGAAAAATTATTTAGAGGTTTAAGTGTTTTGCTAAAATAGTTCAAGTGAGTAAAATAGTTTCTTTTACCAATTTAACTTTATTGTAGACCGTATTATGTGCTAAAGAAATAGAAAAAAAGTCAAATTTTACATATGGCCAAAATCAGAAACGGTCGAAATGGTACTACTCATACAGAAATAATACTCATTCAGTCAAGAATTTTCATAAATGTTGTTTATGCCATGGAGCAGTGTATTGTTGCAATGGCATGGAGCCCGGGCAGCTGCCCGTGCTGGCCGGGCCCTGCCTCCGCCATTGTGTTTCACTATGTATGGATGAGTTGCAGTGGATTTTGATATTGTTTCGTAATTTCATCTTAGTGGACACGTGGTTTATTGATGTACACGGGGTTTAAGTGTTGCAATGATTTTAAATCGTTTGTTGCATATGTTGAACCAAATTATTTCATCAAGTGATCTTACTGTGTTTCACTTTTTTTAACAATTGAAACATTCTTTCGCTATTTGCTGAAACATTGTTTTTATATAGGGTGAAACAACGCTCGATTTTTTTGGAAACCGTTGTTTTATATATTGTAGCAAAATATTTCATGAGGTGATTTGGTTGTGTTTCAGCTTTTTACAAGATTGAAATATTTTCGATCTACTTGGTGAAACAGCGCCCGATTTATACAGAAAAAATTGGGCGCCCGGTTTGTAGGCGCCTCCACAGAACCTGCACAAGCCTCACCAACTCTTAGTCTAAAGCCATGAGTCTCTCTAGCCGCCTCTAATTATTGTTCCATATGCATCTATAGTGATTGTTCCAATATGGTCCCTTTTGTTTCATAGCCAAAACAGTTCTCCTTCATCTTTTTTTTTCTATTTTTTAAGTAGTATTATTGAAATAAAAAAACACCATTTTGTTGATCATAAATAGGCGAATTTTGAGGTCCATTTAACAAGGTGGCATTCTCCCTCTTGTTTCAAAGTAAAGACCACTGCTACAAAACCCTAAATGAAACTAGCATCTATGGATTTTTTTTTCCACCTCTACGTGATGAAAAAATATAGTATCGACAAATTTGACCATTGTAGGTATCGGTTCTAGAGGAAAACCCGACATCAATACTATAGATACCGGTTTTTTTATAAAAAAAGAAGGGTACCCATAAAATAGATTGAGCCAAGCCGTCCATATACACCACACCACTTGCATTTTATCCTCTTCCCACCCGGCTGTCTCTTTCGCACATCGTTCGATCCCCATCCCACTCACACAACCCCGCCACCGCTCCAGCCTCACTTGCGCTTGGCCTCCTCCTCATTGTCTGTCGCTCCTCCTCCTCTCCGTCTGCCGCCCATCCTCCTCCTCCTTCCTCTCCATCCGCCAACCCTCCTCCTCCTCCTTTCCCTTGCAGCGCCCCTCACCACTTCCTCGCCGCCTTCGAGCTATGTCTCCCCAACCACGTCGGATCTGGTCACCTAAAGGTCTGAGGCCACCGGATCCGGCCTCCTTGAGGTCAGGGCTCACCGGATCCGTCCTCCTTGAGGTCAGGGCTCACCGGATCCGGCCTCCTTGAGGTTGGGGCTCACTGGATCACTAACGTGGATCACCTTGCATGTGCTTGGGGCTGGTGCGGTCTGGCTAGAAGGAGATAATGGCGACGGTGGCGGTCAGTCGAAGGAGAGTAGCAAGGGAACGAAGGCGACAGATCCAATGGGACAGTGAGCCTGATATGTTGAACATGTAATGGTCAGCCATGGCGAAACATGTAACTGTGAATTGTTTTGATCTAATCTGTGATTAGCTTGTTCTTGTCCTTTTGGTTTGTGATGTGCTTCTTTGTTTTTTGATGTATGCATATGCTCTTGTGTTCTTGTTGATTTGCAATGTGGATGGGGGGGATTGCAGATGGGGCTAGGTGTCGGTTCTGTCTCGAGAACTGGCAGCTATAATCTCTATAGGTACCGGTTCTGGAACTAGCACCTATACATATAGGTAAAGGTGCCTCCAAATTGGTAACAGTTGGGAAACCCACACCTATAAGGGGTTCCCAACCAGCACCTATGGGGTGCTCTGTAGTACTGGACTCAAAATGCACATCATTCGATAGAGTTTCAGAGGAGGTTTTCGATGCTAGCATATTATAACCCTTTAGTGAAAAAGATATTTTAACACATGAGCTTGCACTTGACAAATACAGATCCAATAGTAGATACATGCACACTAAATAGGATCAAAATTGATAAATTATTATTAGAAAAATGGCATCTATACCTTCTATATAGTTGGTATCCACTAGCAATTATTACAAGCTAAAGCTTAACATGCAAGTACGTCACATTACCACCCACTAGTGATTATTACTATTCTAAAGCATGTTAACTCTCATGCAAGCATGATACGTCATATAGAATATAATATTGTAGAGCTCAACATATAAATATGTCAAATGATCTTCCTTACACCTTTTTCACAATATTTAACATTTAGCATTTCTATAATATTTTATATTCATCCATATATTCCAGAACGAAGCGCGGGTATACTAGCAATTGTAAAGAAGAAAAAGTTTGAGTCACCACATGGCACACACTAAGATTATTTAAAATATACTGAATCATTTTGTGATACATTGTAGACATTGATATAAACTGATAGCATCCAAAAAATTAAAAGCCTTGAAGGTGAACTCAAATTGGGCTAGTGGTATTTTCTTAATAATTTTCCCATGCACCAAATATTTTTTAAAAAAATATTTCAAATTTTAAAGCGCAAGAAATTTTATTGCTTTAGTTAAAACCCCATATTTCAATTTTATTAATTGGTCTATTCATGGAACCTTTCTTTTAGTTCAAATATTAAAAGCCTTGAAGATGAACATGTCGATGGGCTATACATCACTAAATACGTACCTATATATATGCCATATCTTTAAGGACGTAAGGAACAGCTAATTTGAGGATATAAATGAAACTGAGAAAGAGCCAAGGAGACATGGATTTTTATCCAACCCCCAAGATGGGTAATAGCCCTAGTCATGTTTACTGGAGGTCAGTGTTGCCATCATATATCAATCTCTTACAAGTACAAACTATCGGGAGGAAAACATAATCTAATATACCAATCTATTGGCGCAGAGCTCGGGAATGGTGGTCAGCGGCTAGCTATTGTTAATTTTCTCGGGTATTGACTCAACGAGATTGGAGGTGGCTCTAGATCTCTCTTGGCTTACTAGTTTCTAACACATTCTCTTCTCTCCTCCTAGGGGACTTACATTTATACCCTTGGGTGCTCCTTTATCGAAGTAAAACTACAAGACAAGTATGCATATAATCAGAATAGTCCTGACCATGCCTACAAAAGACTCAACATTTCTTTCCTTATCTGGGACTCCTTCCCTATCTACTTTAGACTTTATCTATGTGTATGAAGGTTTGTTTTCGTATAAAATCACTTGATCTATGGTGGTCCCACCGAGTTAAATGTGTGTGTGTGTGTAGGATATCTCAAACCTAGGACACTGATAGAACAATTAAAACCTTTATCAAAGTTTTTTTTACAACAGAATAACTAAAAGAAACTCCCTTATGATCTCAAGTGGGCTGAATACGACCCACCCCTCCTTTCTCTCTCCTGCGCCCATGATCTGTCTCCACTTGTTGATCCACCTTCCTCACCTTTCTTCTAATAGAATTTCAGTATCCAAACTTATCGCATTTTGGAGTGCCTTTTATTTTATAACCTACCAATGTTGTTACTGTCAAAACCTAGACAAGTTTTCATGCTACCAAATTTAGTAGAGATCACTATTGGGTATAACTCAAAAATCGATAGTATTAGCAACAATTGGTACCAAACCATTCATCTAGATAGTACTATTCAGTTACCAAAGGGCAAAAAAAGTGGCATAAGTTAGAATTTATTTGGCTCCATACTTTCGTTTCGCTACAACTTGCAACAAAAATAACTGCCTCCGCAGCCCATTAGTTGGGAAGAAACATAGCATGCCTGATAGAGGCTAGCTCATCTGTCTATGGTGAATGTGTTGTATAGTTCCTAGTGTAGTTTTAGCAAGTCAAGGAAATATTAAGGAAGA